AAAGAATATTCTGACCAGGAGCACATGTGCTTTTTAGATGGTAAAGCGCCATCTAGTGGAACAGAAATCAGCTTGCTCCACGCTGACGAGCACCAACAGCGCGAAACGCGTTCGTGGATAGCTTTTCTTGATTTATCAAGAAATTGGGTTGGCCAAATATCAGGGAACAGGTTAAATCAATGCTTTGTTGATTTCTGTTCCACTAGATGGCGCTCTGCCATCTAAAAAGCACATGTGCTCCTGGTCAGGATATGCTTTCATTATTATTATCACCACCTGACCCTTTTATTTTTTATATTTTTTATATTGTTTATCATATCTAAACTTGTATTTAAATTCGGCGTGTTATAATTGGCTAGAAGTAATACTTCTAGGTCTCCGTGTTGAAGGACATGTTATCCCTTAAGCTTGATAAATAAAAAATTGTAAAAAAAAAACCTAGCCCTAGATTCCTTATGGATTTTGTCAAAGATTGTATATATTTATGCAACACAAGCTACCTATATGCATACCCCTATTTGTTGATATGTTCAATAAACACAATTCTACACCCAGACGAGAACACCGGAGGTAGTGAGTGTGTTTAGTTCCACTTATGGCCGCAAGGTGTCCACCATACAACGGTCTCCAGTGTTGCCAGGCTTGTCAAGTGACTGTTGAAGAGTCTCTTGACCTCGGGGTCAGAAAGTAGGGTGATCAAAACAAATTGAGAGAACAGGAACGGTGAAAATTGTAAAACAAAAATAAGTCAGCTACTGAAGGTTGCCAGAATAATGTTAGCTACTAGAGCTCTACAAGTTGGTTTGACGGCTAGAGTGAGATATGTTTGTGTGAGGATAGGTAGGTCATCACGTTTGGTGCTAACAAAGAAATGTGGATATCTTTCTGAACGACAGTATAGGGACCTCGTTACAGTGTATAGTATCATGAGGATGGTTGATGCTGATTACTATTTGGACTTAATTAAGTTCATTTTACACTTAACCTCTTTAACTATTTTCAATCAGTCAAGTATATTTAAATAGAGAAATATAGTTAAACTTAAACTATATTTTTAAATAAGCATCCCTAATTAATTTTATGTCGTGGCTGTGTCCAATAACACGACTTATGTTTAGTTCTTATCTTCTTTCTATTAGAATATTATAACCATATCCGCCATCTATAAACGGAGAGTGTAGTGTGTTCCTGAGCAGTCGAGCTATACCTGGAGGTTGCGGTGTCCAGTGGGACTGGCCGTACAGCCGCCGGGCAAGCGACTGACCTTTGTCCAGCTGCCGCCACCAGAAGTCCGAGTAGAGGCGGGTAGCAGCGTCATCATTCCGTGTCAGGGAGAGGGCGACCCTCCGCCCAGCGTCTTCTGGAGGCGGGTAGGTTTTCTCAGTACCTTCTGGAGGCTGGTAGGTTTTCTCAGTACCTTCTGGAGGGCATGTAAGTTCTCTTAGTATATTTTGTGTACATTAGGTCTTTTTAGCGTCTTATTGAGGAAGCAGGCGTTTCTTTGATCCTTGAGTAAAGGAAATATTGTTTGGACAAAGGTAGATCGGGTTTGGATCTACAATAAAGTATTTACGATAGAGCACAACCACCATATTATTTGAAACAGGTTGAATCCAAAGAGCTTCCTGAATAGGGCATCCATTGTCTAGCCTGTGTTGACTGTTCTACCGTTGTGCTACTGTCGCCGTGTTGTGCCGGCAGCAAGACATGAGGCCCTTAGACACCAGGAAGACCATCGTCAGCGCGGAGTCCATGGCCATCTTCCAGGTGCTGAAGGAAGACCACGGGCTGTACCAGTGCGTGCTGCACAACTCCGAGTCCGAGGTCCACACCACCTTCTCCCTCGTGGTGCAGAGTAATCTCTCTATCCTCTCTTTCTCTCGTCGGTTAACTATGTTTGACGGTGCAACAGCTACCACAATAGAGACAACTTAGCATTGTTCCTGGGATATTGCTTGATTGTACAGCTATTAAACTGTGAAGGATCGTAGACATATTACCATGGCCTTTGAACTACTTGTCAGACGACACAACTACCGCAATAGACA